ATGAGTAGTGCCTAGGATCCTCCGCCCTCTCGCATGGAGGAAGTCACCGCCGCCTTGTAGGCGATAGACTGCATTCTCCGAAGCGAACACTAGAATACCGAGAACCACAAGATAACCTTCGTAGCCAAGAATACCTGATCAAAGTGCGAAAGTAGTTGCGTTGAGCCTTATAACCCAGATCCCGAAGAGATTATAGACTTGACACTAGTCTAGGTGTTAGTCTATGGGTTATACAAGAGCAACCGCTTTCCGCACTAAAATAAACCAACGTGTTAGAGATTCATTGGACTACTAGGTGTTCCATGAATACTATCTCACGCATAAATAGTAGAACCACCTCCTGAAATAGTACAACAGTCATCTGGTGAAACCCTATCTCCCCGATCCTAAGGGTTTTCGTTAGGAATATCTCAAGATTCATTAGTGCAGGTTCATTTTGCACAAGATTGAGATAGCCACTCTACAATAAAAAGATACCGTAGACACGCAACCCATTCGATGATCCAGAAAGTCTCTAAAAGCCAATTGAAAGGAAATGCGAAACTAAGGACAACCCGAGCTTCCTAAGAACCAACCTAAAGGACTACACTTCCAATATGAGGGAGAATGTTAGGAAGTTCGGAATGGCGATCACGCCAGTGATGATCTTACCATAGAAGTACACTATGTTCTAAGTACTGAAAAGCTCTACTCTTCCGAGAGCTTTGGATCATCTGAGATCCTTTACGGAGATTGGTCCAACCCTCATTAGACCACTACTACTTTCGGATATTCCACAAGCTTAATCCTAGATCGATCCACTTCTTAGGATTGATAAGTTTTTGCCGAAGTCACTCTTTTTATCCCACTCGTCTTGGTAGAAGCCATTGGGAACTCTAACTTCGTAGACAAACTCGTAGGAATCGCTAACGGCACGAATCAAATTCCGCATCCCGTAAGTGAAGGTTCGCTGGAAGGCCAAGCAAAGACTGGAGTTCACTTGGGAGTGCGAGGACCAACAAAATAGGAAGTACCCTCATACCTTTACTCGGTCATTCATACCTATTTCCTTTTCTAAACCTAAATTTCAGGACGAAATTCCCTCTAACGGGGGGATGATGTGACAACCCAAAATTTCCGTTAGTTTTAACGTCGAATTCTATTATGTCAAAAATTAGTCTAATTTATCCCGAAAATATTTTTGACCGGATTTAAACCCGTTGGAATATTTTAATTAATATTCGTCAAGCGAAAATAAATACACGTAAATTTTCTTTCCATTTAATTTGAAAAAGTTTATTTTTATTTACGGCCATTTAACCGAGTAAAATTTTAAACCTCGTTAAACATAAGTATCGGGTAGTCGTATACCGGGTACAACACCCAAGCCCTATATAAGGGTGGGTGGACACTCCTTAGAAGCCTTTTCCCACCTTAGACTCTCTCTCTCTCTCTCTCTACTTTCTCTCTTTACAAACGGGTTTTGGTCAAAAATCACCCATATGAGCGTCAAAAATCACCTGAAACCCTCAAGAACATGAGCTTACGGTCCAAGAACACCTTCATGGACCGTAAACATTCATAATGGGGTTTTAATGCTCAAAAACCCTTCCAAACCACTTCTTATGCTTAGCAATGGCTTAGAGGCTTACCCGAAGGGACTTAGAACACCAAAATCAGACCAAATGGGGAGTAAACATGAGTTTACAGTCTAAGAATGTTCTTAGACCATAAGCCCATGTTCATGGGCCATAAACACCTTTTAAGGTGACAAACCACCCCTCAAACACTTTCAAAAGCTTCCATGGCTGCTTAGAGCCTTGTAATCCTTCGTTTGATGCACCAAAGCATACAAAAACACGTCACACTTGAGTTTATGGTCCAAGAAGGTTCTTAGACTGTAAAAACCTATCCTTAGATTATAAACACCCCCAAAGGGTGTTAATGTGCCCTTAACACTTTGTATGGCTTGGAATTGGACCTAGAACTTTGTATGCTTAACCTACAACCACCAAAACATAGGATTCATGGAGAACATGAGTTTACTACTGTAAAATCATGTGTTTAAGGTAGTAAACTCCCCAAGAACATCTCCTTAGACCGTAAACACCTTTCCAAGGTGTTCAAGTGCCCCAAACACCTTCCTATGCTCCTAAAAGTGACTAGAACCTTACATGCATGAGTTAGAACCACCAAATAACAAAAGAAATGGACCAACATGAGCTTAATACTGTAAAATCATGTGTTTATGGTCATAAACTCCTCAAGGAGTATTCATAGGCCGTAAACTCCTTAAATGGCCCATTTTGAAGCCTTAAACCCTTCACAAGCCCTAGAATTGAACCTAGCCTAGTTCCACAAGTGTTAAAAGACCTTAATGCACCAAAGAACACACTATCCATGAGTTTACGGCTGTAAAGTCATGGGGATAAGGTCTTAGGGCCATAAAATCTATAAAGAGTTTACTCTTGAAGAGTAAACTCCCTATCTAGGCCATACACACCTTTAGATGTTACCCGGCACACTCCTAGCACTTGACCAAAGTGTTTTCCGCATCTTAGGATGCTTATACATGTTTAATTAGTATTATATTTACTAATTGTGTGTAAACATATGTCATCATATGTTTATAGGTCACTAAGTGTGTTCAAGTCTTTACTTGACACCGAGCACCTAACCGACACTTTCGTTCAATCCGCTTACAACAGGTGAGTTCATACCCCTGAATTAACCTTTTAAATGTTTTTACATGCTTTTAGGGGGGAATACAAGTTATACATGCCAGTTATCATATCAATCACATGTGATTTATAACCCGCATGCACAAGGATTCATCACAATATCAACTGTTTTACCAAGTATGATACTGTAAATGGTTTTCTAAAACGTCTTTATGTGTTCAAAGCTTTTTTCTCAAATTGCCTCTCATGCTGTATGTTTTATTTCAAACTCTGTTACAGCAGCATTTTAAATAAAGGTTTTCTCTACTTTATCAAGGTTACCATCAAAACTTGTTTATGAATGATTTTCTTAAAGTATAAAGGTTTTCCAAAGATTTCATCAAAGTTTTCTTCCATGCTTTTATACTCCTACTTTGTTAAATACTACTGCTTTGTTATACTTCTACTTAGTTAATGCTCCTACTTAGTTAAATGCTAATAATTTGTTAACACATTTACTTCGTGATACGCTTATACTTCACGATACACTGCTACTTCACGATTCACTTATACTTCACGATATGCTTATACTTCACGATACACTTCTACTTCACGATTCACTTATACTTCAGGATATGCTTATACTTCATGATACGCTTCTACTTCACGATATGCTTATACTTCACGATACGCCTATACTTCACGATACACTACTACTTCACAATACACTTCTACTTCACGATTCACTTATACTTCAGGATACGCTTATACTTCACGATACGCTTATACATCACGATACACTACTACTTCACAATACACTTCTACTTCATGATTCACTTATACTTCACGATACGCTTATGCTTCACGATACGCTTATACTTCACGATACGCTTATACATCACAATACACTACTACTTCACAATACACTTCTACTTTATGATTCACTTATACTTCACGATACGCTTTTGCTTCACGATACGCTTATACTTCACGATACGCTTCTACTTGTTAGCACTTATACTTTGTGAAACACTTCTACTTCGTTAAACACTTAAACTTTCTCAAATGCTACTACTTAGTTAAATGTATGTCTGTGCTTGTATAGGTTATATAAATAATGTTTAAAGGACTTAGGAAGGCTAGTTCGCCCTATTTCCTTTTCTTCGTTGAGATGTGGTCTGGTGGGATTGGATGTCCGTCCGAAGGTTGTTTGATCATTAGTTATATATTATGTATACAACCATAGACATATAGGTTTACATTAGTTAGTTCAGTTGTGAGTCTCTATCATTAGTCTAGTATTTCACATTAGAGCTCACTACACGAGATACATCTTCAGTACACGGCCTTCTCCATTGTCAGGATAGTAACCAGAGTCTCTTGTAGGGAGAACGGACATTGTGTGTATATCTATACAGGATGGACACCCCCGTACCTAGACTGCTAGCTATAATCCATGGCCTACCAAGCCAAAGGGTGACAAATGTCATATTCATACCGAAGCTTGCAGGGCGTCAAGTTATCTAGTGTTTACCAGTATGGTTACGAATATCTCGGGATTACCTTATAGTTCATGGCCTTAAGGTAACGAGTTTTAACACTGTATTCACTGTATTTGGACCTTGCTAGACGTATCATTCATTTGATACTGTCTGGGGTTTGTGTTCACTTTTTTTAGACCTTACTAGACGTATCTTTCATTTGATATTGTCTGGGGTCTGTGTCTCCTCTAGTTAGACTGAGTCAGGTGCGTCGTTTATTCGATACTCTCCTGGAGTCTATGATTTCTTTTGCCTTAGTCAGCAGTCTTCACTGCTGAGGCATATGTTATTTTCCCTGATATTCTCCTACTTTCTTTACAATCAATACCCTATTTTGATAATGATAGTGTTAAGGGAAAAATCACTTTTTACAACGTAATTTCGTACAGTCTTGGTAGAAGACTGTTTTTAAATTAGAAAATATAGGATTTTCTGGAAATGACTCTAATTCACTGTGTACTCTAAAACTACTACTTATATAACGTTATTTGGATAAAATGACACTAAATACTTATGAACTCACCAGCATTTGTAAAAATGTTGATACTCGCTTTTCAAATAACTTGTATTCTCAGGTCAGCAATAGACAGGTACATCCCCGAAGCTTTTGATGAAGACAGTTTAGTACCAAGCTGCACCTATATTATTACTTGTATTACTTTGAAGTTTCTATGTAATGTAAACCATGTAAGACTATTACTATTAATGAAATAGTTATTGTACTTTGATTACTATACTGCATATGTTGTGATACTTGATATAATGTCATCCACCCCAGAACGTTTCCGCCATTCCGGTTTTGGGGTGCGACATCTTCTTTTCAAAGATTTGATTTGATGAACTCTACAGATTCATCACTTTCCTTCTCTAGTAACTTAAACGGACCAACACCATAGCATGGAGGAAAGACTGAAGAAAGCGCATCCAAAAGGTCGCTTTCTAGTTCATAAAAGGTGTTGAAGATAATGGCAAAAGCTCTTTTTGCTCTCTCTGCTTGTAAACACAAACCTTCAAGCATGTATTCATCACCAGGGCTGGTCTCTCTAACGAATGAAGCCAAGTGTTTTAGACGCATACCAGACATGGTCGGAACACAATCAATCATGGTATCTAAATGCTCATTTGCTAAAAAACTCGATGCTGTGGAAAGAAAACATAAAGAACTTACTTTCAAATAAGCAACTACAGTGTATACGTACATGAATATATGTATGTATACACGTATACATATAAGTATTTCATATCCTTAACAAATTAGTGAAATTAAGTATATATATTACCTTCACGTGGCACCAAACCTCTCTCCAATAGATTGTTCTGCTCATGAACACACATTAGAGCACTAACACCGCTGGTCCATAGGACTATCTCGGGGATATTAAGTTCTTTGGCTGCATCGAGGGTGAAGCCCATGAATAAGTCTGCAACTATGCAAGTCACCGGTGAAGATGAAGCATTCAATTTCGTAAGCAGACTTTTAAACGGACCCAGACAAGTTTCATCCATGGACTTCCATAGGGTGGGGAAATCTTGGGTTTCATCTGGGTTCTGTGGCGGCGGAAGGCCATCAGGAATGGTCTCGAAGCAGAAGGAAGGGAGGCCATTTAGGGCGTTGGAGCCTTGAGATTTGACGAGTCGTTGATGGTTGAACTGGGTGTTAACGAAGGTTATATCAAAGCCTTTGGAATGGAGGATTTTAGCAACTTTTAGCATGGGGTTAATATGGCCTTGTGCTGGGGCTGGTAAGCACAACGCATGTGGTTTCTTTTGTATAGAACCCATGAAGCCTTCTTCCTATTTTTTCTGAATTCAAGATAGCAACTACATATATAACATCTGTCTATTTTATATGCTAACAATGAAGAGGCAAATGTAAATGTGCTTGTTTGGTTATTCATATTCTAGATGGCATCTTCAATTATTATTTTGAATATTAATTTAAAACAAGGAGCAGGTTTATGGTACGTAATTTGTCTATTTGTTCATTGTCGTCAATTTCTACCGTACTCTAAATTATATTATAGATTAGTAAACATCAAGTGTACTCTTTTTGACTGTTTCTTTAAACGTTGGATCTCCTGTCCACGTTACTTTCATGTTACCTATAATTTATCGCAAATTGGGACCAATAAAACTAATATAAAAATAAACCATGCACGTGTTTATGTTTTTTCTAATATTGCAATTTATCATCTTCAAAATTAATTGGGAATTACTTAAGACCAATGTTTTCAGCATTTTCATCAAAATAACAAAGTTCATGCTTTTCGCTACTATATATCACATCCTCATTTTGTAACTTTAGCTAGGTTTGGCACACTAACTGCCTTCCTTATAAACTACTTATTTTTCATATTTTTTTTTTAACTTTTTGGAGTAAATTTTCAATTAGGTTATAGAGCTTTTTTTTAAATTCTCTCTTATATTAACTATAATAAACATATTTTTTCATATACTTTTATATGTCAGTTTATATTTTCCACCTAGCTTATTCAAACGCTACATGTTTATCTTCTTTTCATCATAAACCTTTTTTGCTTTTTATGATCACAATCCAATAATGAAGTAATTTTCATTTGTAATCTTCATATCTCCTTATGCACCTCCCTAATTACCATAAAAGTAGCCTAGAAATTCAATTTTTTCTTGCCTTGGATACCAAATTCCATAAGATATTGTTTGAGCGATATATGAAAGGATCCTCTTTATTGTTATCAAGTGTTGTTTACTTAAACAATTGCATAAACTTTATACAAGACCAACTATATATCCTATCCTTGAATTTTGATATAAGTTGTATTGATTATGTAGTCCTGGATCATGTTCTCTACATTCAAACTTATTAACATATTAATTTCAATCCCTTATCTTTTCACAACAGGTTATAAGAAGTGAAGGTCTTAGAGGACTATATGGTGACCATAAGCCTTCTCTTCTTAAAACTGCTACATCACAGATTACACTTCAATTCATTTTATTTAAAAATACCCCATAAACTACTTAGCAAGTGTTTAATACTTGTGATTTCTTATGAATGTCACTTGTTACATGAACATAACAATCTTCTTATGTTTCTTTGCAGGGGATTTATTATTATTAGCATGTTGTTCTATCTTGTTGTGGTAGCATTAGCAGGGTAATTACACCAAATTGTTTTACAAAATCATTCTATACAAATGCTATATCAGTGTTTGGTAATAAATTTTCCTACTTTTTACTTTTTTATTTTCTAATTTTTTTTCTTACTGTGATAATTTCCAGGTAAGGCAGCAGATCCTGATGGAGGTAATAATTTTGAGCATTTTTTTTTATGATTGAATTTACAAGAATTGTCACTAATGTCTACTTATAACTCATATTATGATGGAAACTGGATTGAAACTAATGCATACTCTGGAATGGTATCTGGCATTCCAGTTATACTTTTGGAACCAATGAAGCAATTCTTTAAAGGGGAAGATGTATATGGAGGCTCTTACAATGAATTGGAGGCTTATTTATTTTTCAGTCGTACTTGCCTTGAATGGATGCAGGTTTGTAGCTTACTCTTCATCAACTTGTTTATGTTGTGCTTAAGAAAATAATGTGACAACCGGAAACTTCTAGCCATGTAATTGATCTGTGTTCAGCATTAAAAATCGAGTTCATTATCTTTTGTTACATTTTGTGGTTCCATTTGAGTGCTCTAGACTTAGTATAACCTGGATATAAGCTCTAGGAAGGGTAGGAAAGTGCGTAAGTATCACAAAATCAGACCAAACACACCAAATAAGGTGTGTGCGGCCACACACCCAACCGCACACACCCTCAACCTCACACTTAAACTCTTATATGGATGGATACCCCTTCATTCATTCATTTGGATGTTTCTTTTCCCTCTCTCTACTTTCTCTCTCTAAAATCATCAACCAAGAACACTTGGAAAGCTTCCTAATTGTGATAAACTCCATCTTCAAGCTAAGTATAATGGTAAACACTTGAATCCTAAGCTTAAAAACTTATCTTATTCATCATGTTCATCATCCCTTGAAGGGGTACGGCCGCACACCTTCATAAGGGGGCAGCATACCTTCAAATCTCCTAAGTGTGAAGAGCAAACACTTCAAAATCATCATATGCACTCAAATGAGGTGTGTATGGCCGCACACACACTCTGTACGGCCGCACACTCTTGTGTGTTGCCGCACACACACTCTATACGGCCGCACACTCTTGTGTGTTGCCTCACACACACTCCTGGCTGCACACCCCAGTCGCACATTCATTTTCAAGGCCATACACTCACTTTAATGCGCACATTTGACCCTAAACTTGCATAAATCATTACGTCTGGATCCTAGGGCACTTATTCTTAGTAATTCCAAGCCCTAAGGATGTTTTACCATCATGTTCAGTCATAAAACACCTAAATTCTAACTCATCTATGTGTCTTCACATGAATAATACGGGCCATAGACGTTCAGGGCATCCGTTGACACTCGAACCCTACATTAAGCGGTGAGTTCATACCCCTACCCTTTTTCACTGTTTTTCACTATTTTCAGGGGGAAAACAAGCAAATCACAAGGAATATTTGTGCTTTAAATTTGTCTTTACATGTGTTGCTTTCTATAAATTTATATGCATGTTAACACCAAGAAACATAACAGATAATAGTTTGAACTTGCGGAACATACTATCGCATTATTTGTGAAAATCATTACATAAAGTTACATTTCATATTTTCTCAAATGGTTTTCCACATCATATCAGTTAAAAGCATAACCTTTGATCTTCAAATATGAAACTTAGTACATTGTTTTGTCCTCGGTAACACTCCTCAGAACTACGTGAGTGGAGGATCATCTTTCATAACTGTATTTTCCATATTATTACCTGTAAATCTGTTATTCCCATAAATTGGAGACATGTCCTCGGTAACACTCCACCAAGAGATTACGCGAGTGGAGGACCGCCCCCGTAAGCAGAATCTCTGGGATTTAGAGAGCGTGACTTGAGTATATAGATCTATACGGGGCTGACTACCCCACACCTGGCTGCTAGCTACGGCCGAACCAAAAGGTTCAGGGTGACGAGAGTCATAAGGGTATACGGACGAGTTATTCCCATATTTAGTCTTATTGTATGGTTATGGAACTCGTAGTTTGAATAAAACGGATTTACTAAAAGATAATAATGAACAAGCAACTATGTTTTACATATATTAGTTTTATATACGTGTTAAAACTAATACAATTCACAAGGACAACCAGGTTTTCAGTATACAACTTTCACATTTGGTAACCAACATTCAGGAAAATATAGGAATTTCCTGGGGTAACACTTTCACAAGGGTAAACATGTTTTCAGTGTATGTCTTTTACATTACATTTTTGATTTGATAACCAACTTTTCAGAAAATACGGGATTTTCTGGGTGTGTAACTTTTTCAGAAACAGGAATAAAAAGGAACATGTACATTTTCTGAAAACAAAACCACTTATGAACTCACCAGCTTTATGCTGATTTTCAAACTACTTTTATTCTCAGATCCACGTTAGACAGGTATCCGATGATTCATTTTGGCGAAGACGGAGTGCGTAGAAGACTCGTCTCATTTTGTTCATATATATACTATGTATCACTTGTATAACTTTACAAATGTAAACTTTTCCATATGTAATGTAATGGTTGTTTTACTTTACTTACTATATGCATTGGAATTGATACACAACGTGGAGTCCGCCCCGGAAATGTTTCCGCCTTCAGTTTTTGGGGTGTGATAGATTGGCATCAGAGCCCTTGTTTATAGTGAATAAAGTATCCCAAACCTTACATGGTATAAAACTATAAACACTAAGGGGCCTAAGTGCTCTGAACTAAAAGTATACTTCAAAGTATAAGTATTTTCAAAAGTATATAAGTATACCGAACCGTTGAGATCCATAACTACAAGTAGAACAATACATAAGTAAATGGGTGTTGTGTACTGCGGTTAAACCTGGGCAGTTATGTAGTCGTGTCTAAGGTCAATATAGCCTGGCCAACTATATTCATTCGAGACACGACCAACATGTGCTTGGGAGTGACTGTGGTGTACGGCATGCCTAAACTTACCCAAATACCACAAACCTCGAACCAGTGTCGTAATAAACCATGAAATACTATGGGAGTATTTCTCGAGCCAATCCTTAGAAGAAATCCTCAATCGAGCGTTGCTTCCTGATCATTCCTTAATGATAAATTATCTGTTTTGATAACTCTTTCCTGCTTTATCGCTTATTCAGGATATATAATTGTCGTATCTATCGATTCAATTTGGAGAACTTATCATCATCTCTTTCCTGATCTTATTAGATCAAGATGCCTCCAAGAAAGAGACCCAGCTCCAAGGCCATCAATCCTCCGCCACCACCTCCTTCTCAATTTGACCCAGTAATGTTCCAGGCAGCTGTTACTGCCGCGGTAGCAGCTGCTATGTCTCAATTGAAGACCGGTGGTTCTGGTGGTTCGGGAGGTGGTACCCAAACCCAAAACCTAGAAGATAGACAGTGACACCGAAAGGGGGTTCCTATAAAGACTTCATGAGCGTGAAACCCACATCCTTCGATGGCACTGAAGTTGTCATTTCCCTTACTCGATGGTTCGAGAAAATCGAATCCATATTCGAAATTTGTGCTTGTTTAGAGTCCAATAAAGTAAAGTTCGCAGCTTGTACCTTCAGCGACAAAGCCCTGACTTGGTGGAACGGTCGAATCAAATCCTTGACCCTACCGGTACCTAATTCCATGGGATGGGAAGCC